TTTTTTTTTTCTTTACAAAGTGAGTCCTTAAATCTGAGGACTCCACAGAGCAATTCTTTGGTTTTCTCTAAGCCCTTCATGTATAGAAGATGTATTTTAGAGATTATACCAATAACTTATAATTGAAATGTCATGCAGAAAGCTCACCAGGATACGAAGTATTTAAACCCGCATCTAAACCCATGTCTGAGTTGTTTTTCTTCTCATCATCTTGAAACTGTTTTTCTTTGCATTCAGGCTCATAGCCTTTGGCTGTACTTCCTTTTTTCTCTTGCTTTTAAAAATGTAGTTCTGATTAATTTCTTGTGCAGCCGGGTCTATTGGTTACTGTTCTTGCCTTTAAAACTCAGGGTTAGGGCCTACTTCTAGGGAAAGATGTTCAGGCTGCTGAAGTTTCTGAACTTCCTTGGGTTTGTGCAGGAGAAAATAACACTGTAAAAAAATTTTAGGCCCGGCGCCGCGGCTCACATCTGTAATCCTAGCAGTCAGGAAGGCTGAGGCGGGTAGATTGCTTGAGCTCAAGAGTTCAATACCAGCCTGAGCAAGAGCCAGACCCCGTGTTTACTAAAAATAGAAAAACTAGCTGGGTGTGGTGGTGGGCCCCTGTAGTCCTAGCTACTTGGGAGGTTGAGGCAAGAGGACTGCTTAAGCCCAAGAGTTTGAGGTTGCTGTGAGCTATGATGCCATGGCACTCTACCCAGGGTGACAAGTGACAACAGTGACATTGTCTCACAAAAAAGGAAAAGAAAATCTAAAGTTAACTAAGCCTTCTGACTTCAGAGACCATCTCTGAAATGAAGGATGTGTACAGGGTGAGTGTTTTCTCATCTTCCTTTATTTCCCCCTACCCCGTGTGTGTATGTATGTGTGTGTGTGTGTGTGTGTGTGTGTATGTGTGTGTGTGTACTTACCATGTTGCTAGGAGGAATGAATGGGTTAATATAGCATCTAAATAAGGGTGTGATGGTTTCTGTTATTCTTCCTGAGTTCTTAAGCCTGGAAAGTTGGGTATCAGATTTTCTTTTTCATTTATTTTTCACTTGTTTTGGCGCTGAGAGCTGTCAGGAGAGCGAGGCCTGTGATTGGCAAAATGGGTATAGGTGGAGCCCTTGGGGCTGTCGGGACTATCCAGCTACTTGCCTTTCCCTGCATTTTCCTAATGTAGCCACTCGTGGGAAGTTCATCCATGGGCTGTATAGTAATCTCAGTTCTCAAGTGTGAATTGATAGTTATAGTTCTGAATTTTGTATTTTTCATTCATGTCCATTTAATTTTCATCTAGTTAAACCCATGGTAGTGTTAAATTCATTAAGATACAAGTGATGAATGAGTATTTTTTCTTCATTCTTTTTATTTTTTTTTCTTCATTCCTTTTAAAGCACATGGTATTAGGGACAAGTCTATGTTTTCATGAACTATTTTCATTTTGTTTGTCCCTTTTTTAAGTAATACAAAT